AAAATATGACTCGCAGCTCGAGCTCGACACAGCTGCTGTAACATAAGACTGACATCCAGCTAACCACAGCTAAAAAGAGATTTAGAGAAAACGTACCATTTCCTCAGGTTACACGAGTTGAGTTGTTTCATGCTGAAAAGTTGGTTTGTTTTGGCTCTCACTGAAGACACCGACGCTGAAGACATAGCTGTTCTTTTGTACTGCTTTTAAGCGAAACATTCTTTGTACATGAGGCCAAGGCTGTTCATCCTCTTCAGCTCTAGTCTAGACAAGTGGCTCTGCCATGTTTTCATGTTTCTTCTTTCCGTGTGTCGCTACTTTGAAACGCTTGGGCCGCTCTGCCCGCTACAGTTTCAAACTGGTCATGTGACTGCATGGCCACATCTCATTGGTAAAAAAAGTTACCGGAAAGTCCACTGGCGGCATGTTATCTAATGTGTTAAACTAATAATTTTTTTTAAAAAAGTAACGAGTCGAATTTTGCAAATGTAGCGGAGTAAAAGTACCGTTTCTTCTTCACAAATGTACTCAAATAAAAGTAAAGAGTATCGTGCAAAAAAGGTACTTTAAAAGTACATTTTTTTTCAAAAACTTACTCAAGTAAATGTAACGGAGTAAATGTAACTCGTTACTACCCACCTCTGGATACATCAGCAGGACCGCTCTTTGTGTTTAGGTCTTTGTGCAGAATTTGTATACCTGCTCCCATTTACTGTTTTAGCTGTTTGGTAGTTGTTGAATTGTGAGGTTTAACCTGAGATTATGGCATTTTGGGCAAAATAAATTTATATTTAAAAATCGATTCAGAATTTTAATGAATTGCTATTGCATTATTCAAGCTAGAATTGATTTTAATCAGAAAATCGATAATCAAAACCCACCCCTACTTCTTAGCCTTCTGATGTACAAGTTGTGAAAATGAACTACTACGCGCCTTGAGTCAATGGTTCTTTGGCTTTTTATAAATGAAACTGAACTGAGGTGAACCAAAAACATAGTTTTTAGCTGATGCCTGGAAGCATAACCTCAACAAAGATTATAGCAGGATCTCAGCACAAGATGGCAATTTCAAGATGGCGCCAGATGTCATGCCATCCAGTCTCTCGGTTCTGAAATGTTTATGTATTGTGTTCATAGTGGTGTCCCTGCTAGTTTTAAAAACCCACTCCTTTTTGGTGTATGAGCGTCAGACTCTTCTTAATATCCCTGACTCACTGCTGATGCTCCCCTTCCTTAGCGAGCGATTTAGAGGACTTGCGCTGCCTCTGGTGTCAGTACAGGAGGAACTGTATCAACCTGATCCATCCTGGAATCCTTTGAAATGGAGCGCTAAAGAAGTAGATGTATATGTGGCGCATGCTCTGGAAAGCATGTGAGAGTCAGATCATGAATGCGGCGGATCCTTGCCAGCAGTGATCCTAGCTATTTGGGACTTTTCTCTGACCTCAAAAAGCGCTGCCTTCTTCCTTTTTACCCGACGTTGTCAGAGCGCACTCACCTGATGCAGTTTTATTGGTTGCCATGCTGATGGGATACAAGGGGAGGTGAAGCAACTTATTAATAAATAACTTGTAATTACTGCATTTCCAACCCACTACCATGGATGGACAGAGAGTTAGCTTCCTTAAATGCATAAGCTGGACGTCATGTTCCTAACTGAGACATGGCTCCATGCTGGTGAAGTAGCACCTTTGCCCCCCAGATGCCAGTTTCTTCAGCTCCCCTGGTTGTCTGGGGGGGGAGGCGGGGTCAAAAATGCAAACAAATACAAAGTCCCAGCTCCTGATTTTAAGCGGCCCCGTGGTTCTAATTATAGTCATCTATCGTCCACCTAAATGTAATGATTTCTTCATTTCTGAATTCTCAGACTTCTTGACATATTTCGTCACTCACTATGAAAGAATTCTTATAGGGGGGGACTTTAAATTGAGTCAGCTCTTACTCTGACCGTGTAAAATACCGACGATTTGTCACGTCCTGAGGTGTTCCTCAGGAACGCAAAAGTTAACCTTCCGTGTTTCTATGATACCACATTTTCCAGCCGTGCATTCCAGCCCTAACAGTAACCTTATCCCTAACCCTGACCATAACCTTATCTCAACCTTAACCACCACCTTAATCATGTTAGATTGTGTTTTCCAAAGCGATTACAGTAAAATAAACCTACCTGTGTAGATGCATTCCAAATGGTTCTCATGTTTCCTAATTTTTTAGTTTTGGTAATACCAATCTTGAAAAAGACTGGACTAGATGTTGACATGGTTGCAACCTATAGACCCATCTCACAACTATCTTTGTCTACGGCGTTTAAAAAAGTTGTTTTTAAGCAGCTCACCAACCATCTGTCAACAAACAATCTGTTTAAACCATTTCAGTCTGGTTTTAGACCAAATCATTACACACAAACAGCTTTAATCAAAGTGGTAAATGATCCGTTGGTAAATGCAATGATCACACCTCAGTTTTATTACTGCTAGATCTAAGTGCTGCCTTTGACACTGTGGATCGCTGTACTTTAATGGATAGGCTAGAACATTTTATCAGAGGTACAGGAAATGTTTTATCGTGGCTGAAATCCTTTCTGTTTTAAAAATGATCTCTCTGAGACCTGTGCAGTGAGTCATGAGGTCCCTCAGGGCTCTGTACTTGGCCCGTTGCTGTTTTCTCTGTATCTGCTGCCTCTTGGACTTCTTCTATGTTCTTTTAATGTAACCTTTCATTGTTACGCTGATGACCTGCAGCTATATGTTCCTTTAACCATTGGAAACTCTGCTGACTTGCCTAAATTAGAAGCCAGCTATCTGCAATTAGGAGCTTATTGTCTGATAATTTCCTGCTTCTTAATACTGATAATTTCAGTACTTGTCCCAAAATTTCACCTTGAAAATTGATGACTATGTCATCAATTGTAGGGACAAGGTAAAAAACTTGGATGTGTGTGGTTTGACACGAGGCTCTCCTTCAACTCCCATGTTAAATAGACAACAAGGACTACCCTTTATCATCTGAGGAACATTGCTAAAATCTGTCAAGTTTTATCACTTGACACTGCAGAGGTTCTTATCTATGTCGGATAAATGGTAAGAACAAGATCAACACCTACCTCACCTACCCTGCTGGGATAATAGGCTGGTCAAAGGGGGAGATAAAAACAACTGACATCGAGACAAGGAAGCTCTTGAACATGTATGGAGGGTTTCACCCCAAGTCCAGCACCCTGAGGCTGTATGCTAGCAGAAGGAAGGAGGCCGGGTATACAGAAACATCTGTGCAGAGTATAGCCTGGAAGTCCCGAGGGCAAATTGGGAGATGTCCCCAAGGTGCTGGAGAATGACCAAGCTAAGATCCGGTGGAACTTCCAGATACAGATGGACAAAATGGTGGTGGCTAAACCACCGGACATAGTGGTGGTAAACAAACAGAAGAAGGCAGCCGTAGTGATCGATGTAGTGGTTCCAAAAGACAGCAATATCAGGAAGAAGGAACATGAGAAGCTTGAGAATTACCAAGGACTCAGAGAAGAGCTCAAGAAGATGTGGACAGTGAAGGTAACAGTGGTCCCAGTGGTAATCGGAGTACTAGGTGTGGTGGCTCTCAAGATAAGCGGGTGGCTCCAACAGATCCCAGGAACAACATCAGAGAGCTCTGTCCAGAAGAGCGCAGTCCTGGGAACAGCTTCTTTGTTTTTTTAATATACATGTAGCAAGAATCAAAATTGAATCAAATGATGAAATTCAGCACATTTTGTTCATGAGTTTAAACTTTTTTTTATGTTATTTTTGTCTTTTGGTTTTCCGTTTATTCATATATTAACAATGTCCCAATTTTTCTGGAACTCTGATTGTACTTTTTCACAGCACTGTAGTTACGGCCTGACTACAGATATGCATAAGACATAAGTGGAAAAAATCCTTGAGCTTGGAGACAAGATTAATTGTTGCTTTTTATTGCTTGCTTTTAGTTAAGTATAATCAACATTTTAAAAATGACAGGATAAGTAGATATTTACTTACAGAGCTTTGTTGGAGGCTTTGACCACTGGCAGCAGCCTGAGAAGAGCCTCCTCTGAGGCAGAGTATTTCTTCAGGTCAAACACATCCAGATCTTTTTCTGATGACAATAAGATGAAGACCAGAGCTGACCACTGAGCAGGAGACAGTTTGTATGTGGAGAGACTTCCTGATCTCAGGGACTGTTGAATCCCCTCCACCAGAGAACGATCATTCAGTTCATTCAGACAGTGGATCAGATTGATGCTTTTCTCTGCAGAGAGATCTTCCTCATTAATCACCTTCTTGATATACGCAATAGTTTCCTGACCTAAATCTGAACCATTTCTTGCCTGTGTCAGCAGGCCTCGTAGGAGAGCCTGACCGGTTTTCAGTGAAAGTCCCAGGAGAAAGCGCAAGACCAAGTCCAGATTTCCGTTTGGACTCTGTAAGGCCTTGTCCACAGCACTCTGGTAGAAGTGTTTCGCAGCAAATTCTCTCCTTTCAGAATTGTTGGTTGTCTGTTGTTCTTCCAGCAGATTGACTCCAGAGTTGATGAAGGTCAGATGGACATGAAGAGCAGCCAGAAACTCCTGCACACTCAGATGGATGAAGCAGAACACCTTGTCCTGGTACAGTCCTCTCTCCTCTTTAAAGATCTGTGTGAACACTCCTGAGTACACTGAGGCTGCTCTGATATCGATGCCACACTCTGTCAGGTCTGATTCATAGAAGATCAGGTTTCCTTTCTGCAGCTGATCAAAAGCCAGTTTTCCCAGAGACTCAATCATCTTCTTGTTCTCTGGATTCCAGCATGAATCTGTCTCAGCTCCTCCATCATATTTGACCGTTTTCACTTTGGCCTGAACCACCAGGAAGTGGATGTACATCTCAGTCAGGGTCTTGGGCAGCTGACCTCTCTCTCTGGTTTTCAGCAAATCCTCCAGAACTGTAGCAGTGATCCAGCAGAAGACTGGGATGTGGCACATGATGTGGAGGCTTCGTGATGTCTTGATGTGGGAGATGATCCTTTTCCCCTGGTTCTTATCTCTGAATCTCTTCCTGAAGTACTCCTCCTTCTGTGGGTCAGTGAACCCTCTGATCTCTGTCACCATGTCAACACAGTCAGGAGGGATCTGATTGGCTGCTGCAGGTCGTGTGGTTATCCAGAGGTGAGCAGAGGGAAGCAGTTCTCCCCTGATGAGGTTCATCAGCAGCACATCCACCGAGGTGGACTTTCTAGGGTCAGTTAGGATCTCAGGGTTTTTGAAGTCCAGAGGAAGTCGACACTCATCTAAACCATCAAAGATGAAAACAACCTGGAAGTCTTCAAAGCTGCAGATTCCTGCTTCTTTGATTTCAGTAAAGAAGTGATGAACAAGTTCCACCAAGCTGAACTTTTCCTCTTTCAGCACATTCAGCTCTCTGAAAGTGAATGGAAATATGAACTGGATGTCCTGGTTGGCTTTGTCTTCAGCCCAGTCCAGGGTGTATTTCTGTGTTAAGACAGTTTTCCCAATGCCAGCCACTCCCTTTGTCAGCACTGTTCTGATTGGTTCATCTCTTCCAGGTGAGGCTTTAAAGAAGTCTTCTTGTCTGATTGTTGTTTCTGGTCTGTCTGGTTTCCTGGATGCTGTTTCAATCTGTCTGACCTCATGTTCATCATTGACCCCTGCAGTCCCTCCCTCTGTGATGTAGAGCTCTGTGTAGATCTGATTCAGAAGGGTTGGGTTTCCTGCTTTAGCGATCCCCTCAAATACACACTGGAACCTCTTCTTCAGTGCAGATTTAAATTTCTGTGGATAAACTGCATCTAGAAGTTCTGAATAACAATAATAAAAAATACAACATCAACAATCAGTTAACAAAATCTTTATGACGTTTCAGTTCCCTCAAGAAATGACTCAATAGAAGTCTGTTAATCTCATATGACAATTGCAAATATTCCTTCATCCAGCAGCTTAAATCTTTATAGAAATCCTCTTACTGCTTTGCATAAGGTCAGCCAGGTCCTCCTGCTTCATTCTCCTCAGGAAATCCAGTGTGATCTTCATAACTGCCTCTCTGCTGCTGCTCCTCTCCACATCATCCTCCTTCTGATGCTGCAAAACTTCTGGGTAATCTGGACTCAGAACGTTCTGGATCTTCTTCAGCTCGCTCTTCACAAAAGTGATGATGTTGTCCTCCAACAGCTGGAACAGAATACTTTATGAATGACCCAATCAGACTGAAATCATACAGCCAAACTTCAGATCCATTTCGGACACACTGACAATCCACTGGTCTACAACGAGCAGCATGGAGATGACTGTGAACAGGATAGATGTAAAAGTAGTTGTTGTACATGTACAGACCATAAATATGGAGTCCAGGTGTGTTTGATCCTGCTGGGCAGACTGACCACTGGGAACCTCTGAGCTCTCCTGGTCCACTCTGTGGAGGAACCATGAAGAATTAGGTAAAGCACAGGGAAAAGGTGGAGTAGTTCTCTGCTAAGAAACAGTCAGGTTGACTATTTCCTTAACTAGAAATAATCATTTACTGTCTGCTCATGGATTTAAAGACACATTTTTTCCAGGAGAGTTAACAATAACAATAATAACAATATTAATAACAATAATAATAATAAAACTGTCATGGTGTCCCTAGCTGACTTGGTTTCTAGGCAACATGTTAGTCTGGTTAGTGTCCATGTTTCATTCATATACAGTGGGGCAAAAAAGTATTTAGTCAGCCACCGATTGTGCAAGTTCCCCCACTTAAAATGATGACAGAGGTCAGTAATTTGCACCAGA